GAAAAAAATTGCATGGATTCACTAGCAGACAAGTTTACCAGAACTTGATCAACGAAATACCACTTGGTATGCTTGTCACATTGAACATGTTGAAAATATTCCACACATATACATTAGTTTCATGCAATGAAATAACACCTGTCATTTCAATAAATGGCTACTTTAAGATTCTGAAAGCTATTTTAGAATTGTCACAAAATACCTCACAAAATCAGTAAGAAGCAATGGAATGCAAATAGCAAAATGACCTTTTTTCCTAATGTTTCCAACAATTCCCTGTGCTGACAAGAAATAATCGAAGTTCACTTTGAAAAGCGTGAAGCTGTTGCTTAAGCATTTTATGTGGCAATGAACCATAAATTACATAATACAGATATTTCATATTCGCAGATAGAAAATGTGGCACGAATATAAATAGAATGCAGCTTGTCACAATATATAATAATGAAAATAAATTGTGTGAAGTATTAACCATGCATTTCCAAGGTTATCACATCTAACTCATCAGCTGAAATTTCTGAGTTGCAAATGGCGAGCTAGTGACCATTATTGAAGTCCCGACTATAATAGTGAAGATATACTGAACTAAACACACATCATACTACCTCTATTCATTTGTGACAGAGGATCCTTGAATATTTGTCAGATGGTCAGAAGGTGTTACTTTTCTGGGGCACATTTAGCTTTTAGTTCCCTTTTAGTGACAACAATGCTCATAAGCCTTAAATGATCAATGATTACTTCAGCAGATGAACTGGTCAGCTAAATCTTCAGATCTGAATCTGACTGAATATGTCTGAGATGTACAAAGGAGGGCAACTGCAATTTACCAAACATCTCCAAGAACCATTCAGAGCAAAGAACAACTTTGATGCAGTAGTGAAAGTAACTGCCTTAAGAACTTGTCAATGTCAACAATCTTATTGACATGAATGACTTGTAGTATAATCTGCATATCTGATAGAGATGACCATATTCCCTGTTAGCTTCATTTTAGGTGCTAAGGCACCATTTTGAATTTTGTAGTTTAGTTGAACATTACTCATGATGATGAGGGCTCCTTTAATTATTGTTGTATGGCTTAAGTATACAGTATAAAGTTGGATTCCAATCTTTAGAAAAACATTTTACACAAAGCCTTAGTGAACAAGAAAAAGATTTATTTATTTCAACTTTATATCAAACTGGGTTTCATTAAAACTCCTTAAGCTATAGATTAATAAAATGCATTCAGCTATTTAAAACAGGAATTTACAATTGTAAGTTAGTCTAAAATAAAAGAAGGAATTTTTATTGGACCTCAACTTAGAAAACTTTCTTAAACCTTAACTTAACGCATAACTTGGATGAAACAATGAATGAATTTGAAATGCTTGGAATGCATTTCAAAAAGTTTTAAGCAAATTTTGAATAAACAAACAATCTGAAATCAATAAGACTGCACAGCTATGTTTACTATAGTTTAGGAATAAAAGTCCAGGATTGGTGGCATCCACTGGGAAAAGGGACTTTGTGTTTTTGCATTACTACAACATTATATTCTGAAATTTATTTGCAAAATCCCAAACTAAGCAATTAAAGAAACATTTATTCTTGTATTTTTTTAACCTGTGGAACAATATAAGATACCTTCTGATTATCTGCACCTTTCACTTGAAAAATTGAGAATTCACTAGAGACTAATGACAATGTGAAAAAAAAAAGTTATTTCACCAATGCAATGCGAAAAAAGCAACAGGCATTTACAAAATAGTGGTGCGTTAAGAATTTCATGCAAGATCAATCAACACCAATAAAACTGAAAATGCAAGAACCATTGACAGCAAAACACCTTTTTCAAGAAATCTTAACTTTTTGCATTGCATTTTCTTTCCAAGGAAACAGAATTCTATTTTTGCTTAAAAAAAGTCACAGAATTGCAAAAACTTGGCATTGTGCACAGGTCAAAACAGATATGTGCTACATTACGGTGAACAATTGTCCTCTTTTAAGAAAGACAGTCCTTCTTTTGTGGGCTCTGTTCTTCCTTGAAAAGTGTCCTCCTTTTCGATATTTTAAAACTAATCTGTTAATCTCTGTATTCAGAGATGCTGTGCCAAACTGTTACATGTCATGTAATGGTACAGTTCAGAAAGATACGATTATGAAGCGCATGCGCAGGGCATAGAACTTCACGTGTCTTGCACCATTGCGTATTTCACTTTGTTTACTTTATATTATACTTTGTGTTTACTTCTAACGGAAATATGAACATATTTCTTTCTCAGTGTATATTATACTCAGGTAAGTATAGTTTATGTTTTATTAGTTCATTAATTCAATTTTACAACCCTGTTTTCAACACAAGTGTAAAATAATTTAAATATAGATTTAAAAAAGTTTTAGCGCTTTTGTTATTACAGTTTTAGTTTTAATCATTTGTTTTATTTATTCATAGTGTGCTTGCATCGTTCATGTAGCTCTATATTTGACTTTTAATTTTTAATTTATTTAAGGGATGGAAAAATCAAGAAAGAGGAAATGCCATTTCAATGATCAATTGAAAAAAGAATTTCCATTTCTTACATCAAAGACAGACAACATTGTTTTCTGGAATATTTGCAGAGAAGAATTTTGTATTGCAGTTGGAGGCAGAGCAGCTATAACAAACACCTTTCCCCAGAACACCAACAAATATAGGCAATTATTAGATGCATCATTTTCCAGTAGTAACGTAACTTTTTTTTTTTTTTTTTTTTTTTTTAAGCTTCTAATTATTCTGAAGATGAAAATCAGTTAGTTGTAATGGAGGGTACATTTACATTTCATACCATAATTCACAATCAAAGTTTTTGTAGTATGGATTGTACATCTAAATTATTGAAAAAGTTTCACAATGTTAAAGTTTCATGTGCCAAGATGGGCCCACCAGCAGCCGAGCAGTAAAGTCGCTGAACACTGGTAATTTGATCCGAGGTTCGAATCCTGCGAACGGGCTGGCTATATGGGTGTTTTCGTGGTTTTCCCCATGTGTAACGTGTATAAGAGCCAGTTTCCTTTAGAAAGTCATCCACGAAGGCATCCCTCCCATTAGGCAGATAGCTCTCGATGCTTTGCCATAATCACACACACATATGCCAGGACAAATTGTTAGGCTATTATTAAATCAATATTTAAAAATTATCATGATAAAATACCTGCAGAAGACTTGAAAAATGCAGCATTTGTAACAGTTTTATCTGATGCATCAAATCATATGAAATCAAATTGTACCCAAACCTATTAAGGCATTATAATGTTACCAAGGGCGTTCAAGTAAAAATTTTTAATTCAGAATCTACTGAGAGCAAAACTGTGGCAATTTTGTCAAATCACCTATACAGAGTAATAAATTAAAACAATTTGAAATCTGAAGTTGTTGTACTAACGGCTGATAATACAAACACAAATTCTGGTAGGCGAAGGCCAAAAGGAGTGAATAATGTCTGTGTAAAATTACAAGATTTACTCCAAAAGAAAATACTAGGAATAGGTTGTAATGTAAATATTTTGTCAAATGCAATCATCACAGCTTCAAGTGCCATGCCAATTGCTGTAGAAGTAATAATAATGACAATTTATTTTAGTCATTTTACTGTTTGTGTGGCTACTTTGAAACAATTTTGTGAAGATGCAAATGTTGAATACAAAAAAACTTTTAGGATATTCAAAAGTTAGATGGCTCGCTCTAGCACCTGCTATACAGCATGTTTTACAATTACAGCCTCTCCATTCATATTTTTTAAGTTTAGACAAATGTCCAAAAATTCTGGAATCTTTTCTCATCTATGAATTATCGGATATATTAATGTATTTTGCACATAATCAGGCACCTATTTTCTACAAAACAATTAAAAAAATTGAACATATTTCAGCTACAGAAGTTAGTCTTATTTTGAACGAATTTGTCCTTCGAAATAAATCATGATATAAAGAAAAATTTATGCCTTTAATAATACAAAGAAAATTGTCAAGCTTAGAGGAATCAAATCCAGGAATAACAGAAGAGATTACAAAGAAGTGCAGAATTTTTACCAAACACATTTTCAATATGTTAAAGAATAGTCTGAAACAAGTATCAGAGGAAATAATAGTCTTCAATGGTGTTTTTTGACTTCATCGCATGTAAGTTGAATAGATATGAAAACTGTGTTGAGTTTTTATCGATAAAAATGTTTGATATTAAAATCGATGACAACTGTCTGTTTGAAAAAACTACAAGACTGAAAGTATATTTAAATTGTGATAAATCAGAACAATGAGAAAATCAACTGAACTGATAAAAGATGAGTGGAAATATTTAGCCATTTCCTAAAAATGAACACACTCTATACGGAAATTTAGTTACTCTTTTTCAATTTACATTGTGCTGCCCTGGAACTGAAGTGAAGCAGTTGAAACAGTTTTTTCAATTGGTAATGATTTTTGGACAAGTTAGAAATCAAGATTGAATGTTGATACTGTAGCTGCAGCACTTACTGTAAAATTCAATATGATATAACGACAAAAAATATTCATTTAATGGAAAAATACTCGTTTAAATAATTGAAAAGGATGTAAGCATAATTAGTGCAGTTCTGTTTGAATTAATAAAATGTTTCATTTATTTACACTGTATTTTTTTCTTAAATTTTTTTGTCTTCCTTTTCATTGTAAAAAAAAAAAAAATTGGTCACCTTAGCTATATGCATACCTGAGTTGCCACACAAATACATTTAGGTGACATTGTGAGTTGCCATGTAAGTATTTTGGAGGTATACTGCTTTGCCTAATGAATAATTATTTTGCAACTTTTTTGTAGGCCTAAGGATAGTCAGAAACTACCCAATATAATACAGATTAAGAAAAATCTCTATTGAAATAATTTACATAAACTGATCTTTTAGAAAAATAATAAGGGCTCATAATTTATGCATTAAAATTAAATACCTTGTAAAATAATGAAAAAAATTATAGATTTTGATGCAGAGGAAAAAGGTTACCTTGATCATTCGTAGCATCTCTGTTTTCAATTCCTAAATCAAAACTATGCAATTCTATATCCAGGAAAGGAAAAATGAGCTTTTCTTTTATTAATTCCCATATAATCCTGAAATTAGAGCATAAATTGAAATGGGAAAAAGTGAAACAAGCTTTTAATATTTCAAATTAGTACAGTCAAAAGTCGTTAATCCGGACTCGTCGAGACTTCGGCGATTCCAGATTATCGATTTTTCCGGATTATAGATCATCAGTTAAATCGCGTAAGATGGCATGCAGAAATTCTAAAATTAAAAATATTAAAACGTAATTTATGAAATAGAGAACAATTATGATCTAAAGGGTATCAAAATTTACAAAAAAAAAAGCTTTGTATTTATTTGTTTACTTTATTAAACATTTCTTTCAATGTAAGTTGTTTAAGTTGCTTCATTTTATGTGATAATACTTTCTCTTTAATTCTATAAACAGACATAATTTTTTGTTCAGTTACAAAGTTCCGCTGTTCAAGTCCCGTTAATTGCTGCGCCGAGAATACCGACTAACTTGTCAATCGAAATTTTTTCTAATTCACTAACCTCTCTGTCACATTCTTCATGTCTTTATCCATTTTTTGCAGCAATTCCACTTTTTGTTTGATGGACATCGAAAAATACTTTCGTTTTGTACGATCTTTTGGGAGCTCCAGATTCGGAAATTCTATTTGACATAATCGAAAGTTCAAGTTTACTTTTATAGTATTGCTCTTACAGTCTGCAAAAAATAATAAGCCGGATCCAATTCAAAATTAAGGAACAATGCAATCATCAGCATTAACTGAAATAGATAATTAGATAATTTTAGCTTATACCATTCGTTATACATAAAACGCGCACGCGAAAACGTATTCTGCACTTGCGCACACGCAAATGCGCAGTCGTAAGAGGTCTTACGCGCACGCGTAAACGCCTATGCACATGTGTCAACGTGGCGCATTCGCAGAAAGTTTTTAGCTTTGAGGTCCGGATTATAGATCATTCTGGATTATGGGTGTCCGAATTAACGACTTTTGATTGTATAAAGCTTCAACTAAAGCAACGGACTATGAAATCCTAATTTGATTGAATTTATTTAATAATTTAGTGAACATCAATCTTTCCTTTTGATCGATGAAAAAATCAAATTTAGTGAACGTTCATTATATACTTTATTAAATTTTAAAGAAATAATAAAAAAATTACTTTCTGATTCCTGAAAGGGGGGGAAGAGTTGCATATTTTTATATTATTATTTAAAATTTAGACTAGAAACAGGACAACATTTAAAGCATTATTTCTTCGAGTTCCAAAAGGCTTTTTTTAACCTTCTAAAACCTGTCTTAAATTCTCTTAATAGTATAACCTTTAGGACGGTACAATCCAAAACACTTTTTTCCCCTCCTTTACTATTCCCTAATGAGAAAAGTTATTAGGGTGGTCATTTGTTCCCTCCATACATGCATTAAAATTTACATGTTTGTCAGACACTGGACAATAGTCTAGAATAGGTTAATATATTTGCAACTCTTTCAAGGTTTGATTTAATTTAAACTAAACTGTATTTATTTATTAAGAGCAAAATATACACAATGTTTATATAACATTAACTACTTCTGATCAATCTTAATAATTTGTGAATTTCATGTCTTTGTTTCTACTAGAAATTATGAAATGAGAAAAGAACTTGACAAAGTATAACAAATATGAACTAGTTTTATGTGCCTGCAGGTCAGAACGCAATAGTATTTGATAATCTATTTTCTAATAAAATAATAGTAATGAATAATTTAATGAAATAATAATTAGGAATTCATAATAATATTCATTACTATTTAGATGATTAGAATATGATTCATTACTATTAGATTTTGAGATGAACTTATAGCAACAATAAAGCTTTAAATCTCTTTTTTTTTCATAATTTTTTATTGTAATATAGAAAAGAAAAATCAGAGATATATTAGTTGTATTTGATTATTTAACTTTAACAAATATTACTTTGGACTATCAGGCAAAGGAGGTATATCTGAAGAGGGGATTTCTTTATAAAATTGGATTTTGTTTACGTTAGCATGGGAAAAAATTCTCCAAATACCCATATATGCAATCCATTTTATACCTCCAGTGTGAACTGAATTGTGATGAGATAATTTCTTAAATCTTTGCATTTTCGTGGTGTCCATATATATATACAGAGAGAGAGAGAGCACTTTCAGGCTTCTTTTTAATATTTGCTGAAGAGAATTTTAATCTACGAGTTAAATTTTTAGAAAACAAATTTATCAAAAATATTTTTCAGAATTTTTAAATGTTTATAAAGAATTCTACATAAATTTTCTTTCATAGGCAGATTTCGTTCAAAACCATCGTTATATTCAAAGTTTGATTTTTCCTTGATTTTAAATGAAATGGATACACATATGTTCTGCATAATAAATTTTCTAATTTATTTTAAAAAGTTTAATCTTTCATACTTTCAAAAGAATAAAGGCATACAGGCTGTTGACATTTATAGTATAGGAAATGTTTTTTATATTTCTTTCAGTGATCAAAACGATTACCCAGGAATATTTTCAAAGCAAAATTAAGAAAACTGTTTATGGCAAAGTTTTCAAAATGTATAAAACTGAATTTTAATTAAATTGTCATATTTTTTATTGGGCTGAGTTAATTGTAAGGCATATGAAAACTATCAGACTAGCAGCACGTTGTCTTCAGAAAATTTTCTTTACTGAAAATTGATTTATCTCCGTATTATTACGTAAAAAAAAATTTCCGGGAAGCGATCTTTCAGTTAAGAAGTTAATTTGCATGAAAATATGCAAATTTGGCTCTAATCTTATATCACCAAATGTGGCGATATGTGTTCTGCACTGGTTTTCAGCGTGGTTGCGTGTTGTATGGCAATCCCGTTGACGTTGAAAAATCTTTTGCTGGACTGGTTTAATTGCTCATTGGTTCATGTTGAAATGGCCAATGTTGGTGGCAAGATTTCAATCGCGTATTTTAGATTGTGTGGAAAGTAAATTTAGTATTAAAGGTGCGATGTTGGAGTTGTTAACGACTGTTTTGTTCACACGTGTGTTTATGGGGATTGATATGTATTTTTGGAATTTCTGCAAGACTTTTAAAACGGAGTCCAAAATGCAGAGCTGCTATGAGAACTCGGATGAATAAGGGAGTTTTTGTGTGGATTTGCAGTTAAATGGTTGCTGGTAAAGTATGTGGCTGTCAGTGGAGTTTAAGATTTGGATTGTGGTTTTCGTGTAGATGTTCACTTTGTTGGAGGAAGTTTTTATTGTTACTTTCGAAATTTTGAATCTCAGAAAGACATGTGATATAGCAAAATCATGGCACTTTTGTTCAGAGATATTGTGTGACTGGCGAAATTTTAATTCAGGAATGTATTATGGTAAGTGCATTTTATTTTACTGCTTTTATTTTGTAGAATGTTATGTTCATTGTTTGTAATTTAGTTTACTTTATTTGATTGATTTGTGCGCAATGCTTAGATTGTGCAAGAAGCGAGGTGTGTGTAGTTCATAAATTCCTTCGCTACCTAAAATGTGCAATTCGTAGATGTTTTCTAAGTTAAAATGCATTGCTGTGTACATGGATTCTTGTCAAATATTTTTGGTTAGAAACTTTACGTTTTTGCCATCTAAATTTTTCGTTTTTGTTTCAGATTTTTAGCTTAAATAGTGTCTTCAAAACGTGGTTTTTGCATGTGCGAAAATTGCGTTTTTGGAGACATTTTAAGCTTAAAATTCAAAATGCAGACAAAAAATTTAGGTAGTAATATGGCGGCATGGAATTTCTCGCCAAAAATGTTTGGCGAGAAATTTGACGAGCTGAGGGCGCATATAAGAGTAGTTCCGCAAATTTTCCCAAAGCAAAGATTTTCAAGATGTTATTGCTTTAAACTCAGACAGATGGAAAGAAATTCTTCACATCCTAATTCATTATAAAGGGGTTTGAATAAATTCATAATATTTGTTCAGTAAAAAGAATTTTTTTCCCTTTGTGTAATTTATTGCGATACTCAAAAAACTGTTACATTGCACTAATTAAATAGCTAATTTGCCCCTCAATAAGTATCTAAAATTGCCATCATGAAATGTTACTTTGCACCAGTTGCATTTGACATTAAAAACGAAAAAAGAAGATGCGGATGAAAAATAAATAGTGTGTTGTTATTGCATTAAAAAAAAAAAAAAAAAAAAAAAAAAAAAAAAAATCCACTGTTTTGTGCATGTGGAAGTTTAAATATAAGAAAATTATGATGTTATTACATTTATTTAATTTTCATAATGAGTAGATGCATTTGTTATTATTGTTTATGATCTAAATTTGTGTGTAATATATAAATATATATATATATAAATCAAGATTAAAATGTATGCTAAAAAGGCGGAAGAAGTTTTAATAATCATGAATTTAAATTCATTTAAAAAATAGTTTACTAAAAATTATAAATATCAATATACGCTAGTGATGTGAAAACAGAGGTAGGAGTCAAGAGATTAAAGAGATAAGGAATGAAAGGGTAGACAGAGATAGTGAAAAACTCCCATCTCATTTGATATCTCAAATATGGCTACTCCTTTCCTAAAATGAAATTATCTGCATATCAAAAGTATTAATGACCAAGTTGTTAAAGCCGTGAAACACTGGTCGAATACAAGTATGTTTGTATCAACTGAAAGCCCTTGCTGCATGGAAGTCTCTCAGTGTCATTTATCAAAACAGTCCTTTACCCTTATAAAGTTCCTCATGAAGATAGCTCTTACTTTGGACAAAAATTCTTGTTCCTGCTGCTATAGTTAATTTCATGAATTAATATTTCTGTATTGGTCAGGTTAGGTTATTTTAATATGGCAAAGCACATGAGGGCTATCTGACTAAGGGATGAGATGCACTTGTGAAGGACTTTCTAAAGGAAACTGCCTTGTATTCAAGTTACATATGGGGAAAATCATGAAAACCAACCATGAAGCCAACCTGTTCACTTGGATTCAAACCAAGGTTCAACTACCAGTATTCAATGTTCTTAACCACTCGGCCACTGGTGGAACACTTCTATATTAGGTTT